CATATGCTGGAGGTGGCGGATTCAAACCCAGCCCTGGCCAAAAATGGCCAAAAAATAATAATAATAATAATTAAAAATAATTATTTTTTTTAATTATTTGCTTAGATAAGTCCCTAATATACACACACACACATATATAAAATATGCCTCAACCACACATCATTTTAGTAGCTGCATAGTATGGCTAGCTATGTCACAATTTGTTTAAATAATTTCTCTGTTTCTAGGCTGTTCCAAAATTTTTGCTACTTTAAACAGAACTTAAATGGAAGTCTTTGTGGCTAAATATTTTCACACAGTTTTTGGTTATTTCCTTAGAATAATTTCCTAGAAGTGAAACTGCAGGCCCAAAATGTGGGCACAATTAAGGACGTTGGGCCCTATAAAGTCCATATTGCAAAACCATCCCATTAAAAGTTGGTGCCAATTTACTTTCCCAGCTGTAGGAGTAGCCTTTTCTCTTCACCCAACCCTGAATATTATCAACTTTGCCAGTTTTTACCAGTTTGGTAAGAAAAATAATCCCGTCATCATTATTTTATCTGTATTTCTTTAATGACAAAGATAGCATCATTCCTGTTCACTTTTTGGTTACTTATTATTATTGTGGGTCCTGCTTGTTGATATCTCTTGCCCACTTTTTCTACTAGAATCTTTTTCTTTCTGAATTGTAAGAGTTTTTATACAATAGCCAGGTGCAGTGGCTCACTTCTATAATCCTAACACTCTGGGAGGCTGAGGCAGATGGATTGCCTGAGCTCAGTTCGAGACCAGCCTGAGTGAAAGTGAGACCCTATCTCTAAAATACCCAGACGTTGTGGTGGGCATCTGAAGTTCTAGCTGCTTGCGAGGCTGAGAGAAGAGAGTCACTTGAGCCAAGAGTTTGAGGTTGCTGTGAGCTATGATATCATAGCACCCTATGGGGGGGGTAGAGAAAGACTATCTCAAAAACAGAACAAAACAAAACCCAGAGTTCTTATACAAGATTAGCTCTTTGTCATTAAAGCTAATACGTGTCCTTTGCTTTTGCAGGATTTGGGGGTAGGGTGCGGCAGGGCTGATTTTAGTTTTGTTTTTTAGAAACGAGATCCCACAGTGTTGCCCAGGCTGGCATACAGTGGCTATTCACAGGTATGATCATAATACACCATGGCCTCAAACTCTTGGGCTCAAGGGATCCTCCTGCCTCAGCCTCTGCAGTAGCTGGTACTACAGGCATGTTCCACCATGCCCAGCTTTGTTTTAAGTTTTGTTTAAGAGGTTATGTTCAGAAATTTTAAATTTATATATATTTCCTGACAATAAAATGTATTTAGAACTCCAAATAACTGACTTATAAATGGACTTCTGAAACATTGCCAGTTGTGTGTATATGGCCTTCTACATAGTTACTAAACTCCTAGAAGGCAGAAGTCAGGACATTGTTTTGATCCTCCCATAGCAGTCAGCATGCAGTCCACAATACAGCAGAGCTCAAAAATGTCTAGGCTGCAAATAAACTGTCTCTGGGGATTTGCTTTGAAGCAATGCAATTTGGGAGATGAAAATGGGGTAAGATGAAACAGAACTGGCCACATGTCCGTCACTGTAGAAGCTAGGTGATGGGTACAGGGTACACTGTCATTTCTACTTTTTTGTATTGTTTGAAATTTCCATAATCAACATATTGGACTTATTTCAAATGTTTAATTGATTGGTCAACATCAGAGAAAGAACTTCCTGGATAAGAATGGTAATGAAAATGGATTACATATGTAAGCATGAAGGCCACTTCTGTAGTCCTCAAAATTTAAAAGCACAGAGCTCAAGATTAGGTAGGTTTGAATATAAATCTTTCTTAGGTTAGTGAACTATTCAACTCCTTCAAAACTCAGTTCTCCTTTGTAAACAAAGGTATTAATACCTATCTCAAAAGGTTTTAGCAAAGATTAATGAGGATAAAACTCGATGCCCAGAACCTAGGAGCACTCAGTAAAGAGTCAATTTCATTATCATTCAGTGTTGCACGTGCTTCCCAAGCTCCAGCCAACACCGTCTGATGCTAACAATCCCACGTCCCCTTACTATGACTGATGTTTCAGTTAATCAGCTTGGGCACCAGACAATTGCCTGGCAGAAGACTTGATAGAACAGACGTCAAGAATGATGCTCCCAATACCCAGAAGAGAAAATAAATTAGACCATAACCAAGGACAAAGCCTATACCTCCCACCCTTACTCAACAGATCACCAAACATGCTTAATTTCACCTCCAAATGATATAACAAGAAACAAGAGTGACAAAGAAGTCCTTAGAACAGTGGTTCAAACTCTGACCAACGACTGGCATCACCCAGGGAGCTTAAAAAAATACAATGTCTGGGTCCCACTCCCACAGTTTGATTTAATGCTCTGGAATGTGGGTTGGGAATTGAGACTTTTAAAAATCAAATGCACAGCATTGCTGTAGAAAAAGAGCCAGTCACATGTGTGAGCTGGATCCAGAGGAGTTAGGAGTCCCATCACTGCACCCGTAAATTTCCAGAGAGGGTTACTGTGTAATATTCACAGGGCTAAAATATGTTAGTAACATCAGGATGTGTGCCTATCAATATTCTAAAGAATATTAAAGCAATATATACTGTCTCTGGGTTTTGGTCTTGAAAAAAAAAAAGCCCAGCTAAGTGGTGGTACAGGTTGAGAGAAGGAGAAAAACATCCATCCTGGCTTCTTGGCAGCTGTCACTGTGACTGAAGCACACTCAAAAAGGCAGCCTCATTTTGTGAAGTTATTGCAGTGTCTTTGATCAGGGGAAAAGCACATCGATTTCAATCACTTGAGCCGGGATGGGCCCGCTGTCTGGCTGTCTGGCTGCCCACCACAGTGAGCCAGCCTCGCCTCGAGCCTACAGACACATGGCAGTGCTTAGCATGTCAAACAAATGAGCGGGTTCTTTACTGTCTACACAACCTTTGCTGAACTTTGGGGGCCCTCTCTCTTAGCAATTCAGCCTGGACTAATCGGAAAGTTCCTTTTCCCCAGCAAACACCACCTGGTCTGGTTTGGCCTCGCCAAAACAAAAGCTGGTCAACAGGCTGTCTGTCACGAGGCAGCAAACACTTCAGAATCAGGAGGGCAGGGGTCAACTGTCCTCATAAGCCACACATCCAAGATTGCACAAGCCTAGAGAAGGGAAAACCCACGTCACAGACTCTGCCCTCCTCTGTTACCTTCACTCTGCCCCAGCCCCACTGCAGTCTGAGAGAGGTCTCATTTTCTCCCCCAAGACGCCAATTCACAGAAATGAGGTTTCAAATACATACAAAGATCACTTCCATTCTTCTTACTAGAATAGTAAAAAAAATAAAAGAGTTCATCAATTTTCAGACATGAGGAGTTTCGCATTTAAAAGGTTTGTTTTTTCCTTAAGTGGCATCAACCATAAGATCTTAGGAAGATTTGAGTGGTAGGGGAATAATGATGATAAGTAATGAAATAGCATTTACGTGTTCCAAGTTTTTTCCATGTGTTAATTAATTTAATCCTCATCTCAACCTTAGGAGAGAAGCCATGTGATAACTAATAATAGTAATATATAATAATTATTATTATAACACACTATAATAATGGATTTATCAATCTCCAGTTTTCAGATGAGGAAGCTGTGACCTGGAGAAGCTTGGAATTTGCCTGAGATGGGGGCTGGACTACAGATCCAGGCAGCCCAGCTCCAGAAGCAGAGCTGACCACAGCACCAGACTGCCTCATGGAGAGCCCTGGAGTCAGGGGTTTGAACCAGCTTTGCTACTCCACATCCCACTACTGTTGCATCATCTGTAAACAGGGATGAGGTGAGGCCAAGAGGAGAAAACAGATAGAAGGCACCACTCCCAGGGCCGGCAGCTAAGGTCAGTTTAACCTAACGGCTCTCAGGCCTGGCTGCACGTGTGAATCAACTGGGAAAGTTTAAAACTCTTATGTCCGATTCCTCCATCCCTCTGCATTTCTGCCCCAACAGGCAGTCAGTCTCAAAAAAGTAATCCCCTGTCACCCACCCAGAAATAAAACCTGAAACCCTCAAACCAAAGGCCGGCCAACAGCCCTTGACCCATCCGGTCAGAATTACAGGGAAGGTTTGAAACCACTGAAGCCTCTGCCCCAGCTTTAAGACAGCAGGATTCCCCCCAGATGCTGCTCGATTAAACAACAGAAGTCACGGTCCCCCGGTACTTGGCTAAGTTCACCCCTGTCCAGCAACCTTCCCCTCTCTCATCACCAGGGGACCTCCACCCAGTGGGCACATCCCTCACAGAGCTCCTGCCCCCCAGGGCTACCTCCTGCCTCAGCCACAGCCCTGTGTGGGAGGGACTGCCAGGGGGTCCCTAAGGAGCATCTTACCATCCCACCACTGCCTGGGTTTTAGAAATTGTCTGTGCCAACATCAACACAGTCAGCATTCCTTTCACACAAAGCACTACCCAGAAGATCATACAGGATGAGAGATGGGACTGCCTGAAAGAGGTCTTAAAATCTGAGTGTTTGCACACCCATGCATGCCTATGTGCACACACACACTCACTCCAAGAATCATAGCACACTTTGTGCTCAAAGAGGGCTCTGCTTCGTTCACGACTGGAGGTAGGAAGCAGGGAGTACAGAGGGGCACTAATAAACAGTGGAGGCAATGCGGGGTTGCCTGTGGAAACTGGCAGGAATAAGAAAAAATAATCAGCCTGCATTTGACAGAAGAGCAAAGTGCAGGTCTACCCCTGCGAGGAGAGGGCCGGCAGGGAGGATGGACCAGCGATGCCAGTTTCCTGGCTCGGGCTCCCATGCCTCTTTTCAAGACCCACTGCCAGTTGGCAAGAGGTGGTATGGAGGGCCCGGGAGGGGGAGGGAGCACAGAGGGGAGCTGAAGAGCCTCTCACTCAGCAGTTTCCCAGAAGAAGGCGCCAAGCGGCCCTCACACTCTCGGACACCTCCCCTCTGCCCGCACCCAGGAAAATTGTCTGAGGCCTCACCTGGGTAAAGGAGCCATCTTCGCTGCACTCCGGGACAAATACAGCCTCCTGAGGCTTCTTGGCTTGCTCCAGGGCTTGAGCCCGCTCCAAGCGGCACTTGCTCTGGCCAGCATCTAGAAGGAGAGAGGAGTATATTCCACATTTCACGTGGATTCCATGCTGGAACCATGAGGCAAAAAGGTTGCCCTGAGCAGAAAGGCTGAGAGAACGCAGTGGTCTGTCTGACAGCAAGAGGGTGGTGGCTAGGGACTGTCACTCAGCCCATCTTCTTTATAATCTCATTCTTAGAAAAGTGGGGAGTGGAGGCTTCACATGTATACATAGTACCAGGTTCTGCCTGTCTTTTCTCCCAAGTACCCCTACCCTCACCCAGAGGAAAAAAGTTTCACTTCCATTATTTTTCACCTGGCTTATGCCAAAACTAGTAAGTCCAAGGGGCTCAAAGATATTTTATGGTACAAGAATAGCAAACATTTTCTTTAGAAAATCACAGGTCTAGGGCAGCCTGCTTAGCCTCCTGCCACTCCTATGATGGCTCTAAGCAGTCCAGGGTCACAAACTCAAATATCTACAAGATTCAGGAAGGCAACATAAATTAGAGAAATGAGCCAGACATGAGAGGAATGGCACTCAGTTCTTTTTTTATTATTATTATGAAATCATAAACACATAGATCTCATATACATTAATGCATTTATGGGGTACAATGTGCTGATTTCATATGGAATTAGGAGCATTTACATCACACTGGTTAATATATATCTCGTCTCATTTACCTAATTATTCTGGTAAGACATTTATACTCTATACTTAATAGATCCGACATGTACCCTTCTTGCATTATGCATCATAGGTGTGATTCTGAGGGACTATAGGGCAGCAGTTCTCAACCTGTGGGTGGCGACAGGGTGCGGCATTAGGAGGGTTGAGAATCACGGCTACAGGGAGTGCTGAGGACTGTGGCAAATAGAGAACAGGCTCCCCTTTCAGGCAGGTAGCTCTAGCCAAGTGCTACTTTGCAGGAACACAGACCTAACATTATCAGAGCTTCCAATTTTGAAAGAAAAGTACAAAAAGCCAAATTTTTATGTTGAATCTCCCAATTTTTAAATGTTGCCCCAAATGTTTTTAAACATGTAAGCAGAACAAACAAAACATATTCATCAGCCAGCAAGCTGGAATCCCTATTCGGAAGGCAGCAATAATGTCTTGCCATTTAAGTATCTGCATTAAAAGAAAAGAAAAAGAAAAAGCCCTAGGCAGATAGCAGCACAACTCTCTAAGTCCTAGCCTAGTGATAGTATCCGGAAGACAGAAAAGTGCTTGTCCCTTCAAGTAGACCAGTTCTCCCTCCCTAAACCCAAGCAGAAGAGACAGAGATAGGATAGCAAACCAAATGGACAGACTTGTTCCAAGTCCTGCTGGAGAGCGCACAGACGCCCAGGTGCCTCTCCTTGGCCAGGCAGAGACATACACTCACCTTTGCATCTACCTCGGTGGACCACACCCAGGGTCAGGTCTCGGCACTTTGCTCGCTGGAACTCACACATGGACTCGTAGGACCTGCCGTCTGAGGCACAGATGGGTTTTGGTTGAGTCCTGGAGCAGTGGAGGTTGCACTGAGGGTCACGGTCACTTATTAGAAACTAGATTGGAAAAAAAGTGAAAGAGTATAGAAGTTACTTTTGCAAGAAAAGTGAGGACTGGTGTCATAGAAGATAATTTTTCCATGGACTGGGGGAGGGAGGATGATTTCAGGATGATTCATCTCTGTCTCACATTATCAGGCATTAGACTTTCCTAAGGAGCCTGCAACCTAGATCCCTCATGTGCACAACTTACAGTAGGGTATGGGCTATGAGAACCTAATGCCACTGATGATCTGACAGGAGGCAGAGCTCAGGCAATGATGCAAGTGAGGGGGAGTGGCTATAGATACAGATGAAGCCTTGTTCCATCACCCATTGCTCACCTCCTGCTGTGGGGACATGTTCCCAACAGGCGACAGACCTAAACCTGGGGCTGGGGACCACAGACTTAATAGTACTAGTTTTCCCTTAGGAAGAAAATCCCAAATAAGCCCAAAGTTGTAAATCCCCGGAAATGAGGGGAAGTGAGCAGCCACAAAGTCTAACCAAGGAAGGCATCCTCTTTACATCATAAAAACAACATTGTCTAATGATTACAGACACCGTGCCAAGTAATTCACATGTAGGATCTCAGTCCTCACAACAATCCTATGAAATAGGAACTCTATTTTGTAGATAAAGAAATGGGAGTCCAGAGAGATAACTTGCCCAATGTTGCATAACTTGCCCAGTGCTAGAGGCAGATTTTGAACCTAGATCTGCTTGAAATAAAAGCAAGACTTTAACCATCAATGCAGATGGACGAGTACTTCTTCAAATCAGGAACTCACTATAAATCTCCAAAGTCCATCTTTGTAAAGTTTTATTTGGATAGCATTGAGCCTCACATGTATCACCCTTCAATTTCTGCCTGACAGAATACAGGTTAAGTGATATTCTATAGGAAAGGAATTTCCTGATTGTAAAAATAGCAAAAATAATTAGCTTGGGGAATGCTGGGTGAACAGATTTCCTTGGTGCAGGACTTCTCAGACAACTATGAAACATTCTTATGCATTATGAACTTTCAAGAGGTACAGCAAATTAAAGGTAGCTACAAATTATTTGCTACCCCTCCCATTGAGCTATGGAACCTAATCTCATCCCCCTTAAATTTTGACTGGCTGGCCTCAGAAACTTGCCTGATGGAGAAAATTCTGTGGAAGTGATGTTTTGGGATTTCTGACTATCATACAAATCATTGCAGCTCCCTCCTGGGCTTCTTGCAATTCTCACTCTCAAGAAAACCAGCCACTATGTAAGAAGCATAACAACCCTGAGACCACCATACTTTGAGGAAGCCCAAGTTAGCATGTGTCAAAACCATATGGAGAAAGAAGTGTCCAACCAGCCCAGGCACAGAGATATGTGAGTGAAGAAGCCTTCCAATGAGTCTAGCCCCATCTGTCATCTGATCGCAACTTACAAAGATGAAAATAAGTAAGCCGGACCTTTGAGCAACATGGGTTTGAACTGCATGGCTCCACTTACACATGCATTTTTTTTCAACCAAATGTAGATGGAATACATTCATCATGGGTAGCAAAACCCTTGTGTATGGAAAGCCAACTTTTTGTATACTTGAGTTTAGCAGAGCCAACTGCAAAACTTGAATAGTCAGAGATTTTGGCATACTCAGAGGTCCTGGAATCAATCCCCTACATAACTGAGGGTCAACTGTAATTGCATGACAGACTCCAAGCAAGAACCACCCAGCCAAGCCCAGTTAACCTACAGAACTGTGAGAAATAAGAATACCTTGTTGTAAGTGGTTAAGTTGTGTGATCATTTGTTATTGGCAATCAATAACCAGATCAAGGAGCACACCTTATGAAGTATCTCTCAAAGCTTATCTCCCATTTGACCATGAGCACCTTTATCAGTGAAACTCCTGCTAACAACTACAGAATACAGTTGGAAAACAATAATTGGGCCATTGTAATCCATGAGCTTCTGTTCCATAACTCATACTAGAGCATATGGGCCTTGAGAGCTGGATCCACTCTCACCCCCTCCCATACGGCAGAGCCCTGGGCACAATGCAGGATCTTTAGCAGCAAGGGCTGAGGGAATGAACATCCTGTGATAATGCAGGCCAAGGTCAGGAGCACACATCTGGCCATCAGTGATGCTAGAATTGACTATATAATCCCACAAAGCTCACAGAGGTTTGGGGAAGGTGTGACTATAAGCTCCATCTCAGATGTGTTTGCAGGCCTATTGTGTGAAGCAAATAGATGAGAATTGTTGAAGATAGTACCACACCCTTCCAGGGAGTACTGGAAACACACACCCCACACTGGCCAAACTCCAAGAGAGCCTAAGTCTGTCCATGAATACACAGACCACAGGCCAGCCATAAAACCAGTCCTTCCTGCCACCCTGACCTCATGCCTGGCTGCTGGCTGCTTAGCACGGAGAAGAGCAGCTGAGAACCAAAACCACTACACAGGTCTAGTCGGTATAGACAAGGCAACTCAGCCATCTCACAGGTTAAGCCTGAGTCCAGCCAAAAGCCCAAAGGGAACTATATTGAGCACAGTATTTGGTAGAGTCTAAGTGCTCAGGGTAAAAATAAATAACATATAAGTCATATCCAGAGGAAAGCCCACTGCCTCCCAGGCTGCCATAGAGGAGGGATAAGTTGATGGGGACAGTAAGAGTGAACAGGGTCATCTACAGTCAACCCCCTCACAAGACCCCTGGTCTCAGCTTCCTCAGGTTGCCCCTTTAGTGGTGTCCACTGCCCTTGAGAACCTTCGCAAAGTCGCCCAAGCCAGGCAGTATCTGTTCCAACCCCCACCCGCACCTGCTACCTTGTCTCTGTTCTCAATCCCCATCCCCCTCCTCACTGCTGTGGGGACACAATGGCCTGCTCTCTACCCCAAATGAGCTACCTTTCCCCTGCCTCCAGGCCTTAGGCACGCCACTCCTTCTCCACTCCCTCCCACCCTGCTGTGGTCTTCCGCTCACTCCATCTCTTCTGGGAGGTATTCCTGACTGTCATTTCCCCTGAAATGAGCTCTCACACTTCACTTTCCTATCATGGCTCTTAACAATTTGTGATGATGAATTTATTTGTGCTGCTTGATTAACAATGGAAAGCCAACTTTTTGTATACATGAGTTTAGTAGGGCCAACTGCAGAACTTGAATAGGCAGAGTTCTATTTAACTGAGTTTCCATATTACACAACCATATTTAACATTATTATTTTGTTTTTATTGTCCTTTGGTTAGGAAGAAGGAAGGAAATCTATGTTCTATGAAGTTCTATGTTCTATGAAGAAACCCCAACTCAGTTCTATGAAGACAAGGATAATGTCTATTTTGCCGCTCTAGTTTGCCCCTGCCCAGCACCTCACACAGTGCTGGGGCACTCCGTTATTGTGGGATGAATGCACCCCTGTAGAGGCATTTTCCACATGGCGTTACCTTAAAACCTGCTGGTGTAGCATAGCAGACCTGGCCTCCCATGCCCCTGCCAGCCCCGGCATCCCTGGGGTCACACTGAGCCTTGCCTTCTCCTGCCAGGTCCCTATGAAGTCAGAGGTCAGCAGCAGCAGACGCAGCCCAGCCTTCCCTGCCCTCAGGCCACATCAGAACAAGATCTCTTATCAGGAGCATCCTGCAGTGGGCCTGAGTCCCAGCAGCAGGATGTCTTATCTAGGTATTCAGCATCTGGTGTCCGGCACACACAGTAGGCTCTTGGTAAACAATGTTTTACTTTGTGGAGTCATTTTTGACCAGTCATTTTGGTCAGTGTGTCTGTTTGCAGTGTTGCTCTGTAAGCATGAAAGGCAGTGGTTAGAAGCACGGCCGTGAATCCAGGGGATGGGTGTCACTCCCAGTTCCGAAACGTAATGCTGTTTAAGCTTGGGAAAGTTGCCTAACTTCTCTGGGCTTTAGTTTTCTCATCTATGAAATAAGAATAGTTGCAACGTACTTTGTGCCTCTTAGTGTTGTGTGAAGATTAAATTAGTTAACATATCCTAAGTCATGTATAAGTTCTTGTTCATCTTTTTGCTTTGGAATTTAATAGGGGAAGGGATTTTGTTTTTAAGAGAACACACAGTAAAAAAGAGGGGGAGAGAATATAAAGTTTCTTTGAAAACCCACTGAGGCTGCCTTGTTGTCTACTCTGCAGTTCACAGGAATGGAACTACAGTCCATAAATTCGGTGTGAAAATGGGTTGCTCTGTGACAACTCCACAGCATTTATGCCAGAGACCAGCTTAGAACAAGAGGAACAGTCTGTCTGCAAACAGGTTAAAGAGCTTCAGAAGCCCCACCTATCCCAGCACACACACGGAGAACATTCTCAGCTTCAGAGCAGCTCCCAAAAGATTCCTGTCAAAAAGTGCCAGTCCCAGTTCCTGGGGCCAAGCAAAAAGTACAGCAATGTACAGGGTGGCCATTGCTGAAGATCATCTTCAGTTGACTGTGAGGTCTTGTTTGTATCTGTTTTAAAAACTGCATATTTGCGATTGTTTGAAAAACGAAAAAGTCCATAAGATGGAGCATAAACAGAATGACTACACCCTGATAGCATCACCCCAAGTGCCAGGGCCCCACAGGGATTATTTTGCATCCACAGATGCTGAGGACAAGGTAGACCTCCGGCTTGTTCATCCATCCATTCATCTACTCCGTACGCAGTAAGTGAGCACCGACAGTGAGCCCAGAACTCCCCAGACAGAGAAAGCAACACACAACCAACACAGTCCCTGCCCTCAGGAAGCTTATACTGTAAGGTAGAGACAACAAGCAAGCTGACACTTAACCACACAGAGACACTGAGGTAGGGATACTGAGAGAGGACTTAATCCCAGGGACTCCAGAATGCTCCAAAGCCACACTGTCCAACAGAACTTCCCACGATGATGGAAATGTTCTATGTCTGTGCCATCCAATATAGCAGCCACAAACCACATGTGGCTCTCAAACACTAAAATGCAACTAATGTAACTGGGGAATGAAATATTTAGTTGTGTTTAATTTTAGTTAATTTAAATTTAAA